ATAACATTTTTTCTGTGGGGGTCGAACCCCCGTAGATACTAGCAGTGAAATATTTTCGAATGAAGTTTTTTTGGGTAGGTTTTTAATTACCGCAGTTCCAACATGTTCTTTCTATTTTGCATTTTCTGTTTCGGTTTGCTCTTAGTAACTCAGTACTACTATCTTGTATTTACTTTTTCGCTAAAGTTTGTTGTTTCAGGGGCTTAGAATCACCTCTTAAACCTCCCCATCCAGGAATAATACTAGCTGTCCCCTGATTACAAGGTACTTAATTACGTGTAAGTAACGGAACACATAAAAATGTAAACATAAATATTGCCATTATTGCAATGTATCCCACAGATTATTTCAGGGGTTTTCTATGTATTTTACAAGGAAGAGGAGTGATTTTAACCCTACTTTTTGTCGTGTATAAATGTCGTAACAGGTACAAACTTTATTATTCCTTATTTTCAGCAGCATCACATGAGTTTTAAAATGGAACGGAGTAAAAACAAAACTCTCTAATTTGAGGTTCAAGTACAAAAAAAATAATTAATACTGAACCAATCGGCTATCTTTACGCATAACAACAAATAATTAGAAAATATTTTTCGCGTTTCATAAACTCTTAGTTGACTGGTGTTTTGTATAAGAGAACCATACCAAAGACTTAAAACGTCAGAAAATACACACACATATATAACCTATTCTGAAACTCTGTACACGACCACCAAGGTTGGAGTAATTAGGAGGAGATAAACTGTACATGTACAGAACGATAATGGGTAGGCAAGGACTTCCTGCTAAACGTGTGGGTTTGGGTAAGCCCCCCCCCCCCTAGTAAAGGGGCCTTGGTCTGGGTTGCTTGACCATAAGACTAGGATGTCACAAAAGCTATGGAGTACAGAAGGAATTGCCTATAACAATTATTTAATTCTGTGATTCGTCCTTTCTCACGATTCAACGTTTTCCTTATTCTGAGGTCGTATTAAAAGTAAATCCCCTTCCTGCAAAAGCTACGCAGAGGAGTTTACAGAATGGACAGGTGTCTTTTGTTCTTTGAAATGCCATTTTCAAATGACCGGCGGTCAGCGGGGCTCTGGCGTTTAATCTTAGCGCCGCTGGAGGTGTACAGATAAAGAAAAACCCCTAGCTGTGAACTGTTTAGTAGTTGTTGAGGAGAAGTCAAGACGACTGGAACTAACTGAGAAAGCTGGGATAATGACACTTTGGAGATAATAGTGACACGTGATTTCCATGTGTTGTTTCTGTTGACTCTGATACAAGCAGTGTCAACATGTATCACTGGGTTCGAAAATGGTTTTGTCTTCTCAAAGCACGAAATAACACAGCACAAAAAGCCGTCTAACGGTGTTAAAAGTATATTTTATAACGAAAACTATGTTCATTAAGTACATTACTAATGCCGAGATAGTGACATGTATATCTATACTTTTGTGTAAATAATAACGAACCTATATCTTTATTTTTAAAAACGTTTTGTATTGTATCTTTCAAATTTAAAAAGTGCGCGCAGTTACCAGTTTGTAACTATAGACAGTCACTAAAAACGAAAACTACAGAAAACGCGTTGCTTAGTGATAGCCGTAAATCACACAAACCTCACAAGAACAAACGGATTTTACGATTTATTTTGACCATTTTTGTATCCACCAAGCACTGGAAGTGACAGTTTTAACAACTGATGCGGCGTTTGATTAGTTAGAGTCGTTTACGTGTTGTTTTTTTCCTTTGCCTGCATCAGTGAACCGACTTTTAGGCTTATCTAAAGTTGGAAAGTAACAGTCAGAAGTACCGTGTAACGTGAATCAGTATGCTTTGGTTACAGGGTGGTAGAACGCTGGGATTTCATTTGTACTATATAGAAGCTTGGATTTCTTGCCGGGAGAATATATATATATATGGAGGTTTGGGTTTTGTTTTCAATAGAACTAGACGTTAGAACGATGGATCTTGTTCACAAAAGTGTTAGGGATATCTGAATATCAGTAAAATAAGTTTCTAATAAAAAGTTTAACACCTTGTTAAAGGTCGTCGCTAATGGAATAATTACATTTTGTGTTTATCAAAAAGCGCGTAAAACTTCAAAAATGACATCAAATGTTATCTAAAATATAAAGAGTGAATTAACGTTTTTTAGTACTTTTTTTTTCTATAAAAGTGTTGAAGATATAAACGGACGGTAATGCTATTCCAAGATTTGATTCATGGTCTTATTATAAACATATTTTATTAAGATTCAATTCAAACATCGTTCAAGCTACTTGAGAATATGTAAAATGGGAATGTTATGGTTTCTCTTGTCGGACGGTGATGGTTAGGCTTAGCAACTAGAAGGCTTAAAGCAAATGTGTGTGTATAAAGTTACAAGGCATTTCGGCGCAACTACGGTAAACAAGCACGTGAGAAAATAGATGCTAGAGTTAACCACCCACCGCCTCGTCTCACTACCCAGATTTTTCCCTCAGTGCACACGTCAGATTTTGAGTGAGGAGGAGACTATGTAGACCCGCCCCCTGCCCGAGGATAGCCCGAGCCCTGATGCTGCAAACAGCTACAGGAACTTTGTCGCCCACTTAACAGTAAGCCTGAGGAGTTCTATCGGGAAGGACGCTCGCCTCAGTGAATTCCAACTTTATTTCATGCTCTTGCTGTGGTGCTCAGTTAGTTTGTCGAAGAGTTGCGGTCTTTTCCCCCTTCTGTTGCCGTCGGCAGGAGCTGGGCTAGGTAGGGTGAAGGGCCCGTTACGTAGTGTACAGAGAAACGCGTCATATCCATGCGTAGGAAAAACTGATTCGTGAAATGTAAACCACATACCATATACTGACGACTTGAAAAATATGAGGTAAGCCATAGAATAACGTCTTATTACAGTGACTTAACCAGAAGAAAATGTTTGAATTAAATGCCTCTCTGAAGTTCTAAAGTGTTTTTCTTTTAAGATTCTTGATCCGCGGAATAAATCTAAAACTAGTATGTACTTCTGTGTTATACTTTTGGGATCGAGGTCTTATTTTAACATATCTAAAAGATTTTAAGACTTTCAATATTTCACATAAAAAGAATAAAAATACTATGGGTTCGTATGTCATCATAGTAGTCGATACGATACGTATCTAGATACAGAAGTTTTACCAACGGTTTGTTACAAAGTTTGACAGTCTTGTCTGTAATTTATCATCTATATTACTAACACTGTCTTATTTAAGTACTTCACACTTTACAGTGATTTTTCAAATTCTCAGGTTTGTTCAACTGAATGACAGATGGCAAGAGAAGTACAATAAAACAAAGTTAATATCTGTTCTGTTATTGTTAATTCGTTACGTTACTTTGTACGTAATGTTTTTGATAAAATAAATGAAGACAACATGTAGTACTCAATACTCATCTTCATTTATTGAATCATTAATATTTAGCAAAAATACTTTATTAGAAATTCTGATTTTTTTCTGTACAAAAGACTTGTAATGTTTACTGAAAGTTTACCAAATATCGTGAAGATACATAAATCGTACCGGACGATGTATCGATACAGTCGTATCACGGCTTCACGATACTTGTATCACTACACCTTTAAAAATTACCACGTGATACATCTGAAAACTAGACATTCGTGGTCATATAGCCGTGATTGTTGGCAGGAGGGGTTCGAAAAGCTAGTCCTCTGTACTACATTTAACTTATGTTTGCTCAATAAAGATAATCTTTAACAAATATATATATATATCCAAAATTCCATTAATCAAACTCAAATTAGTCTTATTTATCGAGAGTTAAGCGTCAGGAAAATACTCCGAATACATTTTTATCCATTCAACCCACGAGACTTGAATGTCTGGCCTCCTATACATCTCGCCCAGCTTGGCATTTTTTGAATGCTTGTTCTATCATAGTTTTTTCTTGTGATAATATTATAGCTCTGTGTTTGATCTAATTTACTGGTCAAAACTGCCTTGATGTTTGAAACAAATAAAGAAGAACAAAAGCGTGTGGGAACTGATACCAAGGTTCCTGCTACCTCGTTGGAAACCGATACATCGTCACTATGTTTCGGGAAGATTAATAACAGATAGCTCACTCTGATCGCAAGTTTTTCAGAGCTTTACTTAAAAAATGCCTTTAGCACCTCGATATCTATCAAAAAATGAGATGTTCTGTCAGCAGCAGTAGAACCTCTTAACAACGGTTATATTTATCAACACTGTACACTAGGTTATGGTAATTTAGTAGACCCCAGTGTCGAGAAAACTGTTCAGGATATTTACGGTGTGTAAAACGGAGTCTGAAGTTTTGTTATGATACTGTTTGTGTTTATCACAGACTCGGTGCAAATCATTGGCCAGTAATACTTCCTAGCAGTATTCTAGGTCGGTCGTGGCCGAGTGATTATCTCGTGGGACTGCGAATCGAAGGGTCCGTGGTTCGAGACGTGGACGCCTTATAAAATAGGTAGACAGCCCTTGATTTGGTTCAAATATTTTATGGCGGCGTTTGCTGCTGACTTTCTTCCCTCTGGTCTATAGTTCATAATTAGCAAAGGCTTTATCTGAATTCTGTAGGTGTCTAGGACTACTTGGTCGGTAAGTCCTCGTGTGATTAAGGTGCCGTTCGATTTAAAGGCTATATCTAAATTCTATAGGTGTCTAGGACTTGGTCGGTAAGTCCTCGTATGATTAAGGGGCCGTTCGATTTAAAGGTTATATCTGAATTCTGTCGGTGTCTAGGACTTGGTCGCTAAGTTCTAGTTTGATTAAGGAGCCGTTCGATTTGAAGGCAATATTTGAATTCTGTAGGTGTGTAGGACTTGGTCGGTAAGTCCTCGTGTGATTAAAGTGCCGTTCGATTTGAAGGCTATATCTAAGTTCTGTCGGTGTCTAGGACTTGGTCGGTAAGTCCTCGTGTGATTAAGGTGCCGTTCGATTTGAAGGCTTATCTAAATTCTGTAGGTGTCTAGGACTTGGTCGGTAAGTCCTCGTGTGATTAAGGTGCCGTTCGATTTGAAGGCTATATCTAAATTCTGTAGGTGTCTAGGACTTGGTCGGTAAGTCCTCGTGTGATTAAGGAGCCGTTCGGCTTGAAAGATTCAAATTCTAGTTGGAGAGGGATTGAATCAGAATCGGTGGGTCAGTGGTAAGTTTCCGGACTTATAATGCTAAATTCGATTCCCAGTGGTGGACAGAGCTCATTGTATAGCTTTGCGCTAAAAACACCAGCACCACCAACAACAGCGAATCAAAAACCATCCATAGTTATTTGTTTATGTTTATTAGTAAAGAATGAGAAATCACTGTTTTTTTGTTTATTATCATTCTAATATGTGAAGTAGGAGAATATTCACGCACCTATAAGATTGGTGTAATGTTTGATAAAGGTGTAAGCTACAAGTGTATACATCGTGATTAGATCATTATGCTAATTCTTATATCTATCTGTTTAACGCATAACTTAAATCTTTCACTATTTTAACCTTAAATCAGAGGTGTTAATAAGAAATGTTACACGGGATGTAAGCCTGAATTGTAGAGTATTAAGAAAGTTTAGAACTCCCTTATTAAACGTTTCGTATATTTAAACTAATAGTTGGGGTAAGCACACCTCCTCTCTTCACTTCTTATAACCCCTCACCCTCCCTCCTCGGATGGCTGAACGTTAAACTTGAGAGCTTATAATCCTATAATTCGGGGTTCGATCTACTCCGTGGGCACAGGACAGATTGTGCGGCCTTGCGCTTAAAACAAAAACTTATTTATAAGGAAGGGGTCTGCCTTTCTCCAGGTTATCGGATTTCTTGTTTTTTAATTCATCTAACTTCTTTATCCTAATTGATGATAAAACTGATAGGTACAACAATATTTAATCTTTAGAAAGAACCATTCTATATTATCGAGATTTTAGATTTTGGTGAGCATTAGAGCAGATGCAGTGAAAAACGTACGTTTAGTTTTAGTAGCGATAAATCGGTTACTTTGAACTGTGAATCGGCGAATAAACTAGGAGCAACATGTCTAGACACGAAGCTGGAGACGAGAGTACAAATCTTTAGTGAAAGTTACCTTAAATAGTATTAAAATACTTTCGACACATATCTGAAATCAACATGCCTCGAAAACCTAATATCTTTCCTTACAAAATACTTCAAGGTGCTGCGGGTAAATGTTTATGTGTGTCTATAATTACGAGTGTCACATAACATATAAAAGCACTTCACAAACAGCATACGACTGCAGTTTTAACGCGTACTGTTAAATTAGTAGAAGCAATAGTCACGTGCTTTCGTATTCTTTTTACTTGTTTTCCCGCCTAATGCAGTATAAAATTGACCTAGTTCTATCAAATGAGTGGACGTTTTGCGAAAACTTGTACGTAGTCATATTGTGAAACACAGATTTTACACAAACTGTTTCTCGCGGAATACCTCGTAGCGGTTCTCAAACTTTGGTAATTGGAGGACCACTTTAATTCTCGCGGAATACTTTGTAGCGGTTCTCAAATTTTGGTATTTGGAGGACCACTTTTAATTCTCGCGGAATACCTCGTAGCGGTTCTCAAACTTTGGTAATTGGAGGACCACTTTTAATTCTCGCGGAATACTTTGTAGCGGTTCTCAAATTTTGGTAATTGGAGGACCACTTTAATTCTCGCGGAATACTTTGTAGCGGTTCTCAAATTTTGGTAATTGGAGGACCACTCTCATTCTCGCGTAAAACCTCGTAGCGGTTCTCAAACTTTGGTAATTGGAGGACCACTTTAATTCTCGCGGAATACTTCGTAGCGGTTCTCAAACTTTAGTAATTGGAGGACCACTTTAATTCTCGCGGAAAACCTCGTAGCGGTTCTCAAACTTTGGTAATTGGAGGACCACTTTAATTCTCGCGGAATACTTCGTAGCGGTTCTCAAA